TGTCTGTCAGAATAGAAAGTAAAGTCTTTTTCATTTAAATTCCTCTCTCGCCAAATATCTGTAAGTTCCAGGTCATCTTTCATATCAAAAAAAGTTTTTGGCAATCTAGTTTGATTAAAAGTTTTAAAAGAGCCCTTTTTGTCTTTCCTTGTATCCAAAACTCCATTCTAATCACCCATCAAAATCACCGATTTATAATCCAACTGATTTATTTTACCATGCACAAGCTTGTAAAATTATTTCTGTTGTTGATTTGGAGCATATAAATCAACAATAAGGAATTTCTTGCCTTGTAATACTAACTCAACAATAACATATCTTCCTTGAGAATCAGAGTCAATTAGTTTAGCAGATAAGGTTTTTTTACATAAATTACAACTCCCCCTTTTTTTCCAGGGGCAGGAGCTATAAAATGCAAACCTAAACGAGAATTTGTCAAATATTTAGAATCTTTCAAAGTTATATGAGTTTCTTGCAAACATATCACATCATTGTTATGCTGTTTCAAATAATGGAATACTTTTTTCCTCTTCTGAAGTGAATTCAATCCATTAACATTCCATGTCAGTAGCTTTGACATCTGAAGCCGCTTGAAGCCTTTGAAGCATGACTTGTAGATCAGCTATGGATGATCTCTTTGGTCTTGCTCCTCCCACAGGCTCTATAACAACAGTTCTTTCTATTTTTTCACTAGCCTTTTGCTTCTGTTCTTTTTCCTGCGTTTATGCACAGCGCGAGTCATCCTTTGTTCTTTTATCTCTAAAACTTGTAAAGCAGGCTCCCCTTGCAACTCACTAGCAATAGCTCCTCCAATTGCTTGATCGTCTCCAGTTTTACTGGCTTGGGGAGATATGGGCGAACCAACCTTCAGAACGCTAGAATAGAAATCTTTTGCCTTTAACACTGTGTTTAATCTATAATGCGTTCCTAAGTAGTTCACCACTATCTCTGCTGGAATTTCCCATCTGAACTGGATTTGACAACGTTTGAGCTCCTCCAATAAGAAAGTAAATTCTTTTCTTTTTCTTAAAATTTTTGGAGGCATTTCTTTTAAGATTATAACATCTTGATTTGCAATTTGAAATCTCTGTTTATAAAAAGCTTGTATAATTTCATTGCGGATTGATCTTCTAGAGAAATATATGACCACATCTCTTGGTAAATTTCTTTGCCTGGCAATCCACAAATTCACTCTAAAAAATTTTTCAATCCCATCCCAGATATCTTCCGGCTTCCATCCCAGATTAAAAGCAATATCTTTAACCACCAGCTCTCTTAAATCCTCTTGTGAATTTTCTTTTAAACCCCTAATGCACAGAGCTAGTTCCATATCTCTATACTGTGAAATAAGTAATTCATCTTGAGTCATCTCTATTTTATGCTCAACTTCATCGACTCTGCATTTCAATTTCTCTACATTTTCCGTCACATCATCCAATCTGTCATCAATTCTCTCAATATGCACAGCAAGACCTTGAAAAGCAAACACAATATCTTCCCTCATAATTTTATTCTTCTCCTCCAATAATTCTGCCATTGCAGCCCTCTCTGAAGCCAATTTAACATCCAAAAGATCTGCCATCTCTTCTTTAACATCTGAAGCAGTTTGTTTTAAAGCATCTTGTAAATCTTTAACTGAAAAGGCAGGTGGAGGGGGAGAGGGAGGGGGCGATTTTGGCTTAGTTTGAGAGACAGTCTGAGGCTGTATCATCGGAGAGGAAATGGAAGCTTTTGGAACTGAAGAGACAGATCCTTTTGAAGCCATTTTTAAAATAGTGTCAGAAAAATAAAAGTCCAAAATCTATACAATGTAAATTCCAGCCAGTAATAATAGAAAAGAAAAGAAAAAAAGAGGAACTCAAAAGATACTATCCCAAAAAGAAAAAGAAGAAAGTTCTTGCCTTTAAAATTAAAGGTTCTTGTTAACTTTGTTGCAACTAGCAGAAAAAGCAGAAAAAGCCGAGCGCCATCTTTAACTTCCGTCACTTTCCTTTTCTATCTTCAAACAAAGGAAAACTTCTTTTTAAAGAAGATGTTTTCTAAGGAGTTAAAGTCCAAAATAATCCCAATTCTGATTTCTCCTGATTAGCTCCGTCTGCTTCTGAATACTCACAATTCCACTTTAAAATGCAGATGTGGAAGTGGCGTCTAGCTTTGTTCCAAAAACAAAGGAACAAAGGCGACCTGGAATGCGGAGTAAAACTCGGGCTCCAAGGGAACTCTACCCTCCGACTTCCCTAAAAATATAGGGGTCTCGGGGAGCTCTACCTTTACCCAAGAAGCTCTCCTCCTCCTCTTCTCCCAAGGAGAGAGGTTTTAAGCCGCGAGACAGCTGATCTTCACTGTCTCTGCCGGCTTTTAAGCAGTCCCAGGATGGGCAGCTAAAAGAAAGCTGCTATCAGCGCAGCTGAGCACCACTGGAAGCCTTGCCCCATTGCTTCTTGTCTGCTGTTTGGTCGTGGGCGATGCACAGCAGGACTAAGCACCATGGCCGATTCCATACATGGGATGATGATTAGCCATGTGCATCAGCTGGGCATGTTGCACTGCCTGCCTGCCACCCTGGTTTTGTCGCTAGCCAAAATTCATCCAATGATGTGTCACAGCCCCACTTCTGGCCATATGCAGATTGTTCCCATTTTCTGGGCAGGGAGTAGCTGCAACGGTGTGAGAGGCAGAGAGAGGGTTCAGTGGATAGAGGGAGGGAGGAGGCACTTGCACAACCACTTCTGAAACAACTTGCCAAGAATATAGAGACCATTCCAGGTAATTGCCAGGCATCAACACAGACTCAAAGGCATTAATTGTGGCTGTGGCCAATTGTCCCATTCTGGATGTAAAATGCTCAAGTCTGATCTATGCTATAGTATAGTCAACATCATGACATCCCCATGCTAGTAGGATGGGATAACTAATGAGAAGGCTACGTAGATGGGTTCATCAAAACATCCCAACATCATGCTGCAATTCATATTGTGTCTACAGGGGTAGACCAGGGGTGTCAAACTGCAGGTTGCATCATGCAGAGGCCTCGTCCACCCAGCTCTGGCAATGCCAAAAAAGTCATGATATGTCACGACATGTCATGTGGCGCGGCAAGTTTGACACCTGTGCAATAGACCAAAGATAAATAAGCTATTGTCTTACTTTTGCTCAGGGCTGCTTGCTGGAAATCCAAAGTACACTTTAGTTATTTGTTTGTTTAATTTTTATGCATCTTCAAAATAAATTGGTTGCTTTAGGTGAGCTAGGTTTTGTCAAACTGCCAGCCCGTGGGCTGGTTTCATCATACCGAAGCCACACTCACTCCATTGCTGACAATGCAAAAAGAGTCACGATACGTCATGTGATGTGGCAGGTTTGACACCCGTGGTATACAACAATATGAAATCATCAGGAACTAAGCTTAAGTATGTATGTACGTACGTATGTACGTATGTACGTATGTACATACGTACGTACGTTGTTGTTGTTAATTGCGAAGTCGTGTCCGACCCATCGCGACCCCATGGACAACGTTCCTCCAGGTCTTCCTGTCCTCTACCATCTTCTGGAGTCCATTTAAGTTCACACCTACTGCTTCAGTGACTCCATCCAGCCATCTCATTCTCTGTCGTCCCTTCTTCTATTGTCCTCAATCTTTCCCAGCATTAGGCCCTTTTCCAGTGAGTCCTTCCTTCTCATTAGGTGGCCAAAGTATTTGAGTTTCAACTTCAGGATCTGGCCTTCTAAAGAGCAGTCAGGGTTGATCTCTTCTAGGACTGACCGGTTTGAACGCCTTGCAGTCCAAGGGACTCGCAGGAGTCTTCTCCAGCACCATAGTTCAAAGGCCTCAATTCTTTTGCGCTCAGCCTTTCTTATGGTCCAACTTTCACAGCCATACATTGCAACTGGGAAAACCATGGCCTGGACTATACGCACTTTTGTTGGCAGGGTGATGTCTCTGCTTTTTAGTATGCTGTCTAGATTTGCCATAGCTTTCCTCCCCAGGAGCAAGCGTCTTTTAATTTCTTGGCTGCAGTCCCCATCTGAGGTGATCTTGGAGCCCAGAAAAATAAAATCTGTCACTACCCCCATTTCTTCCCCATCTATTTGCCAGGAATTGAGAGGGCCGGATGCCATGATTTTGGTTTTCTTAATGTTGAGTTTCAAGCCAACTTTTGCACTCTCCTTCTTCACCCGCATCAAGAGGCTCTTTAGTTCCTCTTCACTTTCTGCCATTAGAGTGGTATCATCTGCATATCTTAGGTTGTTGATATTTCTCCCGGCAATCTTAATTCCAACTTTTGATTCATCTAGCCCTGCCTTTCTCATGATGTGCTCTGCATATAAGTTAAATAGGCAGGGCGACAGTATACAGCCTTGCCGGACTCCTTTTCCAATTTTGAACCAATCAGTGGTTCCGTGTTCAGTTCTCACTGTTGCTTCTTGACCCGCATATAGGTTTCTCAAGAGACAAATGAGATGGTCTGGTACTCCCATCTCTTTAAGAACTTGCCACAATTTGTTGTGATCCACACAATCAAAGGCTTTAGCATAATCAATGAAGCAGAAGTAGATGTTTTTCTGGAACTCCCTAGCTTTCTCCATGATCCAGCGTATGTTGGCAATTTGATCTCTAGTTCCTCTGCCTCTTCGAAATCCTGCCTATACTTCTGGTAGTTCTCGATCTACATACTGCTGGAGTCTAGCTTGTAGGATTTTAAGCATAACTTTACTAGCATGTGAAATGAGTGCAATGGTGCGAGAGTTTGAACATTCTTTGGCATTGCCTTTTTTTGGAATTGGAATGTAAACTGACCTTACATACATACATACATACATACATACATACATACATACATACATATATGAAAATAATCTAATTTTCTTGAATGTTTCATCTCTTAATTCCAATCACTCTTTAACACAACAAACTTAAATAACTTAACTGTTTCAGATGTTCCACTTAAAGCAATGTTTAAAGAGTCATGTATTTCTTCTTTTTGTTGCCCCATCAGGAGTGAATGAATCATTACTTGTTTCACAGAAAATGGCTGCACCAGTTCAGAAAGCATCTGGATTCAAAGAACAGAAGTTTAATGGCAGAGGTGTAAGTTATTTCTTCTATTTTTTAAAATAAATGTGCACATTTGAGATATAATGTAAGTCCTTCCTTCCTTGCTGAATCCCATAGAATGTTTTGTTTAGTGTTTAAGTGAATGTACTTATGTGTGCATGTGTATATAAAAAGTATACACAATAAATTTGATATAAATTCTTAGCTGTAGGGTTAGGTCACAGGTCGGCAACCTGCGGCTCCGGAGCCGCACGCAGCTCTTTGAGTCTTCCCCTGTGGCTCCCAGCCTTCTCTGCCATTTGCAGAGAGAGACAGAGACAGAGAGGCAATTGCGCTTCCCTGCTTCTCTCTCTCTCTCTCTCTCTCTCTCTCTCTCTCTCTCTCTCTCTCTCTCTCTCTCTCTGTGTGTGTGTGTGTAAAAGAGAGTGCACTCAGTGTTCTCAGAGGAGCTGAAAAGCTTACTGGGCGGAGCTCCTCCCTTTGTTGCATCTCTGCAGGAAGCAGGAAGGGCAGGAGAGAGCTAGCTAGCCCAGCTATGCTGACTCAGGAATTCTGGGAGTTGAAGTCCATGAGTCATAAAAGAGCCGAGGTTGCCTACCCTGAGCTTGTTGGAGAACAGCTTGAAGCCAGCTTGCCAGGTAAGCAGCAGATAGGAGAGAGGGAGAGAGAGGAGGAGAGAAAGAGAGAGAGAGAGAGAAAGAAAGAGAAAGAAAGAGAGGGGGATAAGGACTGGCAGACCAAGGGCAGATAGGGAGGGAGAGAGAGAGAGAGAGACCCTTTTGACATCTAAAATGAAGATAATACTGCATATATTCTTTTTTACCTGTGTGTATGTGTGTGTGTGTGTATGTATATGTGTGTGTGTGTATATATATATATATATATATATATATATATATATATATATATATATATATACACACACACACACACACACACACAGGAAGTTTTCCAGACAGTACATACGTACGTACACACACACACACACACACACACCTATAATAAAGGTAAAAAAGGATATATGCAGTGTTATCTTCATTTTAGATATCAAAAGGTTTTGCAGTTCCCTGTGTTTTGTTTTTGGTGGGAAACGGGTCCAAGTGGCTCTTTGAGTGTTTTGGGTTGCCTACCCCTGGGTTAGGTCAATCAGCAAGTGGTTAAATGTGAAGTATATGCTACAGTAGCAACCAGGAAGCTGATCATGTATATTCTCAGTCTGGGTTTCTGGTGAGGCAAGGCCAACAAATATCCATAGTTTTCTCTGCTCTGCAGATGTGGGGGCATTATAGCTAAAAAAACAGCTGGTGTGAGATCCATATTGAAATCCTCTTTGCTATAAAAGAGATGTAGAGATTAACCATACATACTCTGAACAGCTGATATTTTTGTGAGTAAATAGTAGATAAACCAACATTTTTACAGTCAATTGCAATCAGCTGGTAGTCACAGGTTCCACTGTGCCCTGGGACATATATGCAGCCCTTCATGGGCTCTAGGTTCAACCAGACTTCATTTTTTTTAACTACTTTGCAGCTTTATTTTTTTTAAAGTTTTCTTTTTTAAGATTGAAAAATCTATCGCAAGCCTACCCATCACTCAATGAGTTTTCTTTCAATCCATGTAACAAGATTGAAAATTATGTCTTTTCAGCTTTGTAAAATATTTTTTTGCAATTTTTCACAATATACAACAAAAGAGTGACTTTAGAATTGTTTCTGGAAGAATTTAAGTGCTAATTTTAAATGCAAAACAAGAGTCTGAAGCTGAATTATTGAAACACATGATGCCTCTTCAAAGGAAATGTTTCTGGGGGTTTGGGAAGTCCTCTAGAGAGAGATGATGGGGTATTTAGATTAAATAGAAAGGGGGATTTTATACTTATGCTGGTAGGTGCTTGTGTTAATTTTTACTGGACTTTTGTTGATTAACAAAAGCTAAACATGAATTTATAGAAAATGGGGTGAAACATGGAATGCAGATACTGTATATCTGATAGATGTTGATAAATGGTTAGTGTTGAATATGCTTGCTGGGAATGAAGGGGAAAAAATTTTCCTACTATTTTTTGGCAAGGGATTGTTTTTCTTCTTTTCCTCAGATTTTTTAATATATATATTTGTGGTAGGTTTTATATTACCTTTATCTAATATAATTAATAAAATTGAAAAAACTCATAAATTATTAATATGCTTTTTAGTTCTGCAGAGGTAGTTTTCAACATAGGACCATAATGGATCCTGCCTATTACAATCATATATTGTGACGGTAGTAAAATGTGATTGATCTGATTTTACACCTTTTTGCAGTGATCATTAAATGAACCACCCAGAAGTAAGTGCTGATTTTCAGCAAAATTATTGTAAAATGTAATAATTTGCTCATGTGATGCCACAAATATCTGTAAATGTAACTGTGCTGCTGAGCACCTGAAGTTTGGTCTCATGTCTGTGGAGGGTGTCCAAACACCAGAACCTTGAGTCCCCTTTTTTGGGGTCAGTTGTAAGTTCAATGGGTCACTAAGTTGAGGACTACCTACCTTTCTTGCTTACATTTATAAAACTTAATTCTCTTCTGTTTCAATCTAAACCTGCTGATGTGATCTATTAATGTTGCATTTTAACTCAACTATTTGCATTATTTGTTCAACTAGTTCTTACAACTATGCATAAACCAGTTTGGCTTTTTGCACTGTCACTAATTATCGTATACATTAGTGCAATTTTTAATAAAAATTTATTTGCATAAAAGTTATATAGGTAGTCCTCAGATTACAACCACTTGTTTAGCAACTGGTTGAGAAGGTGCTAAATGAGATGAATTTATGACAGTCTTTATGTAGCTGTCGCATCAGCCATCACAGCATCTCCAAGCTTTTTTTCAAGTGCCGCTGGAGGAGGCAGTCGCAGGGGCTGGGGGCCTGTTAGCCTTGTGGCAAGCCTTGAAGCTGCGTTTTACTCCCCCTGCACAGCACACAAGTGGTGGTGGTGTTGTGATTTCAGGGGTTGGGGCGCTGTCTGCCCTCCTGGCAAACATCGCAGACGTGTTTTCTTCTCCTGTGCAGCACACGAGTGGCGATGGGGGGGCTGGGGATGCTGGGGATGCTGTCAGCTCCCCTGGCAAGCCTTGGAGCCACGTTTTACTCCCCCTGTGCAGCTCGTGAATGACAGATGGGGAGTGATCTAAATGAAAGCTGGGAATCTTCACCATGATGCTTTACTTACAGAACAATAGCCATTAAAAACAGCTTATGAAGAAATATAATTGATTTAAGTAAAAGATCTCCCCTTCCCTGCTTTCCTTCCTTCTCCCCCATTTCCATTTCATTCTCAGAAGTTTGGAGATCTTAGCAGGTCTCTGTGCATATTAACATTGAGAGCGCTGCATTTTTCATCCTCTACCCTGTATTTGCTGAACCTCCCTTAAGTGAAAGACAAATCTGGAATGTAATTCAGAATTATAACTGGGTGAAAATGGTTCAGGGCTAGAGGGATTTGGCCTGGATAGCCCCCATGCCAATTTGGGACAATAATATTTTTTCATCCCAGCTTCTCTTGTCTCCAGATTTCTTTCCCAGTGTTTGTCAGCCTTGGCACCTTTTAGATGGGTTGAGGATGGAAGGAAGGGACGGAGGGAAGGGGAGATGTTCTGAGTGGACAGATATTCACATAGCACACAATATATCACCTTTAAGCACATATCGTCAAAGGTGAGAAAAAGAAACAAGACCATTTCAAAAAATAACTTTCATTAGTCTATTTGACAATTGTGTGCTATGGCACGCAAGTAATAAATAGGATTTTGGTTGCCATATTCACCAACAATCCAGGCAATCCATTGGTCTGCAATGCAGTATTTCTTCAGTTTCATTGGAGGACTATGTTCTGATAAGAATTGTTTGTAAAGTGCATCTCTACCTCATTGCACTTTGTGAAGGCCATCAATAAACATCCAAATGGTTGGATGGCACATGCCTAATTATGCACAGAGTGTTCGATGAGCCTCTTCTGAGTGATTGTTTGTATGATCCTCTGCCTGCCCAGTTTCAGCAGGGAGCAAGGTACAAAGCTGGCAAGCTTTGTACCTCCCAGCTCAACCTCTCAACGCTGTGAAGAAAGCAGGCTGGGGGCAGGGCGGCATTGCGCAGGTAATGTTGACTCTCACACTGCTCATGGCATCTCCTCCTCCAAAGCCCACCACGCCAGATATGTGAAATAGGTGAGGGCCATTTGCTGGCCACTTCCAGGCGATGGTGCATTTCTTCATTCCTCACAAAGGATCACACTTCCCCAGCTGTGTTTCTTGCCTCATCTCAAATATTTTCCTGCCACTCTGTTCTTAGGAAGGAAGGAAGGAAAGAAGGAGAGGAAGGGTTTGATGGAAGTCCTGCCTTAGTCCTGCCCTGCTGCCCTTTCACCATCCCCTTGCCCCCTCCTTCTGGCCTATCCTGAGGTCTCCCATCCTATTGCTAAGGAAGCTTTGGATACAAAGCAGGTCTTCTCCCATGGAGAGGGAATGGGCCTCCCTCTGACTTTCCCTTGTATTATCATGAGCAACCTAGCTAAGGAGAGCAAGCACAGCAGCAGCAGCCTTGAGGAGGAGATAAGTGCAGCTGGGCACCCCCTTGGGGAAGTGGGGGTGAGCTTGGTGCTGCAGATGCTCGAGAGCAGGCTGGGCATTTGACCTCTGCTGCCCAGGGCTCCAGGCAATCCGCAATACCATCCAGCTCCTTCTGCATAGCCTGAGAGGAACAGTGAGGCTCCTCCAGTGGACCATGCCTTAGCACTTGCCCTGGTCCCACCCCCTTCTGCCAGAGACTTTCAGATCTGTCCCACTCCTGCCCAGACCCCCACAGGCACCCTTGATGTGAACGATGTAGAGTTGGCCATACCCTCCCAGTAGGCCACATCCACTCCATCCAGTCTTGGGCCATGGCATACTAGAAACCGGTCCGTGCAAACGTGAAGTCCCATCCATGGGATGCAGGCAGCATGCGATACCGCACCCTCTCCAGTCCATGGAAAAATCACTCTCCA